ATTCTCTCCAATAAAGAACCTACAACACTCTGCCAGTATTTACCCAGTTTTGGCCAGGTTTCCTCTGAGCAGAGCAAATTGTATAGTGTTTGCAATATCGCTCATCATCTTGATACAGCCAGTAAAATTGTTTTGTACGTTAGTACATGTGCGAATATATGCAAAACTAGAAGTATGTTATGCCTAAGAGCTCTAAGGACCAGTATCTACAGCACAGATTGAGAACCAAGTTGTGGTTTATAAAAATAGTACAGCAAACATTCCTGCACTCGTAACTGCTCCTACAGGTGCCAGAGGCTACGTATATCCATACAATGTTTCTCAAACTGTCGGAGTCATACATCACATTGCTGCAGGGCAAGTAGCATTCACACTCTGTTCTGGGCTCTTCAGTTGCTTTTCCTGAGGTTTATCAAGTTGCACTCATGGTAGTCATCTGTCTATACAATCATGGTGTTTTGCATGGTTCTACATCACTGCTACTACAATTCACGTAGTATCCATGATCTGAACATTCACTGAATGGAAAATTTCTCAGCATATGGCAAAACAACCCATCAGCATTTTCATATTGTTGACCTAGCAATTCTGTATAATAAAGTTACACTGTTGCAACCTTGTGATCAAATGTGCAATAATTCCTTTCAGATTTTTCAATTTCCTAATCCATTTCAGTGATGCATGTTCCACAAAAATGGCGAACGTATTACTATACAAGTAGTGTTGGTAATGTTTGACAAATGCTACAACTGAAAGCAGTTCTTTCTTCATCATGCAGATAGTCTTGTTGTGGGTATCTAACACTAGTGCTTCTACTAAAGGTATGGTTACAGTCTCCAGTCCACCTAAAGTCCGTTTTTCGTTAGTCATTGCAAATAATGGTGCGAGAATTGGTAAAACGAAGTGAAACCTTAAAAACTGCAAACTTCTCATTTCATCACGAGTTAGGGCTAATTTCTCACCATAGTGATCTTTGCAAAGTCTGTTCAGTTGCACTCTTGCCCACAATATGACCAAGGAACTCCAACTGTATATGCATAAGAGCATACTCCCTGCTTTCAATTTAAAGCTTGTCTTTCTTATCTGCTGAAGAATACTCAAAAGTGACAGATACATTACACAGGCTGAGTGATATAATAACAAAAACTTGTGTATGAAAAAAAAAGAGATGCAATGCCCAAAAAATAAATGTAAAACTAATGTATATGACCTGGAAGATCATTGCCATATAAAAATGTTGTATATCAAGCTGCTTATAAAAATATGCATACACTTGTGTAGTGTTAGATATACATGACTGTTTCATTTAATTGAATACGAGAGTTATTATTTACTTAGTTGGCGACTTGTTGACGATAAATTCGACAATAAACAAACAGCACACACTCTACTTGTTTTTAAAATAATACATATATTAGCAACAAATTGGACGTATATACAAAATTCTTTACACTAGGGATGTCGTAGTTGTATCTTAAACACTGTGCAGTTCTCTTCTTCTTGTCAAGAGTCCGTTTAGGCCTATTCAATTGCTTTAGAATTCAGTTGATAAGCCGAACTATTTTTTTCTGTATTTATTGTATTAGTATTCGTATAATAATTCACTTATGCTGTTGCGTGAGTTACCGCAGTTGTATCCTATACTTCCAATAATCATCTGTTTTTTCGTGCTTTCAAATAATCATCTGCTTTTCGTCAAAGTTCACACAGGCGGGTTCAATTAGCTTGGCACACCCTTTGACCAGACAAATTATTTTTGTTATCTCTTTCAAACTATAAATCTCACTCTAATATATCAACCGTTAGGCCTTTCATTCATATAAAGGTTAACTTTGTGTTTTCTAACTTTTCTATCACTGAACTTCTTGTTGCGTCAGCGAAGTCACATGACTAGTGCGACGCCACGTTTCTAGAACTATCCTGTACCTTGGCGAATGCTCTAGCATTTACTAGATATAGGATAGTCTGGTATATATAAGAGGTGACAACGTGACGGACAAC